CTATGTTGTGTGTGTTATGTAATAATACCTTGTTGTATTTATGTTGTGTTATAGTGTTCTGCTATGTTGTGTGTGTTATGTAATAATACCTTGTTGTATTTATGTTGTGTTATAGTGTTCTGCTATGTTGTGTGTGTTATGTAATAATACCTTGTTGTATTTATGTTGTGTTATAGTGTTCTGCTATGTTGTGTGTGTTATGTAATAATACCTTGTTGTATTTATGTTGTATAATAACGTTCTGCTATGTTGTGCGTGTCCTGTAATAATACCTTGTTGTATTTATGTTGTGTTATAGTGTTCTGCTATGTTGTGTGTGTTATGTAATAATACCTTGTTGTATTTATGTTGTGTCATAACGTTCTGCTATGTTGTGTGTGTTATGTAATAATACCTTGTTGTATTTATATTCCGTCATAGCATTCTGCTGCATTTGTGTAATGTCCTCACGCATTCCTGTATTTGTATGTAACGTCACAACACCCTGTAGTTTTTGCGTTACATAACAGTGCTCTGCTGTATATTATCTTCCTGTTGTGCTTGTGCAAGTATGTTTTGTACATAAAAAAAGATTTTCATGAAATATGTGTTTTGTTTTACATGTAAACAAAGAGTCTTATTAACTGTGTGTTTTGTTTTTATATAAACAAGAAGTCTTACTATATGTATTTTGTGTTACATACAGACAAAGAATCTCATTACTATAGGTTTTTTATACATATAAACGATGAATAGTACGAACTGTGTGTTTTAAAGATTATACAACGGTGTTTTTTCTATGCCATTTTAGGTGTATAATGTTTAAACTATATGAGATATCCAAAATTTAAAGTGAGTCTTGTTTTATAGTTAATTCACATTCTCGGACACGCTCAATTTGTCATGCATTTCCTTGTTTTTTTTAAATAATTAACTAGTTTTCAAGAATTAAAATAAAGGTTTATTGCCAGTACATTTTTTAGGCTCAAGGTGGCACGTTTCATGAAAACCTAATCCTCTTGCTGTATTTCTCTGATTGGTTAATATTTTAATTTGCAGGTGCGGTTGTAGCTCGAGAGTATGGAATACCATGTGTGGTGGGACTTCATGGAGCAACTTCGTGCTTTCAAACAGGTGGAGTTTTTAGCAGCTATAATAAATGTTTTTTTTCTTTTTCAGTTGAATACTACCATGTCTTAACTTATAATACATTTATAACATGAACTATAGTCTGCAAGAAATCGTTGAGATTATAGTTGCTTCGCGTGAAAGTTCTATTAGATCGAGGATAAAATGTTAATTTCAGTTTTTTACTTGAAAAAGAGCAGGAAATGGAAATAACCGTGTCAGTTCCATATATTGTTTTTCATTTTCACAATAGTTGGGTCTTACCCGAAATCAGCACATTTCCTAAATTTTAACATTTTGAAACATAGAAAGATAGGTGTCCGTCTGCCATCTATTGGTTTTATAACCTCCTCCATGATGCCGACCGAGCGGTGTACACTGATGTACAGAATAAAGGTCACGCACGGCCAGTTAAGCAATTCAGTAAAATTGTTCAGTGTAGAATGGTGTTATGTCCTGAACTGTGTAAAGAAAGAGTCCAGATAAAATGCGAGCCCAATGATTCAGTACTGAGACGACGGTGTCAACCAGTGCTCACTGTAGAACACAGAAATTCTGTCCTTGAACAACATTATTCTCCAATCAATTCACTGATAGACTTACAGCCTTGAATTTCGTGTATCATATAACGATTTTTACCTTTTGTTGATTAATCACAATTTTGACAGTATGTGTTAAAAAACTCGAGACTCTTAATTCAGATTAAAACTTAACACTTAATTTCTACACACTTTCTTCTTTTAAAAATTATTACATTTACAGTTATGTCTAAAATGTATAAGTAAATACGCCGCTGTAACTTTAAAGGTATGAATGTTTATATTTTTTCTATGGAGAATTGTATTGCGACTTACTAGATCAGTCAATAAAGCACTCGTTTGGTGTACGAGAAGAAACAGGCTCGAATGTACAATTTGAATAGTAACCACAAGAAAACTTGGTATTTTCTTTGAGGTAATTCAATCTGATTTCTTCTCCCTGAAACAAGATTCGAACCCGTGGCCTGAGAGTGTTCTAACAACTGAGCTAAAAGGTTTAGTAGGGCACGTTTTAACAACTCAAGCTATCACATTCTTCACCTTTCACAACAAGCCCTTGTCTCAAGGTCGTGAGACGATCACTAGTTGGGCGCCATGTTTATTTCTGGTAATTTCCTCGATTGGATATCGAATCCAAAAATCCTCACACATAATTTCTGAATTAAACTGTTAACCCACTACATTACTAATACAGTACAATACAAATCAAAATACCACAAGTTTACTTCTATTATTTCATAAAATTCCCATCTATCTCTTGGTTTACTTGTATTGTTATCCCCGTCACACCAAACATGCCCGCCCTTTCAGCCGTGGGGACGTTATAATGTGACGGTCAATCCCACTATTCGTTGGTAAAAGAGTAGCCCAAGAGTTGGCGGTGGGTGGTGATGACTAGCTGCCTTCCCTCTAGGCTTACACTGCTAAATTAGGGATGGCTAGCACAGATAGCCCTCGTGTAGCTTTGCACGAAATTCCAAACAAACAAACAAACTTATATTGTTTCACAACAGTCTAATTTATCTCTTGGTTTACTTCTATTGATTCACAACAGTATATTTAAATCTCTTGGTTTACTTGTATGACAACAGTCTAATTTATCTCTTGGTTTACTTGTATTGTTTCACAGCAGTCTAATTTATCTCTTGGTTTAATTGTATTGTTTCACAGCAGTCTAATTTATCTTGTGGTTTACTTGTATTGTTTCACAACAGTCTAATTTATCTCTTGGTTTACTTGTATTGTTTCACAACAGTCTAATTCATCTCTTGGTTTACTTAATTGTTTTATATCAGTCCAAGTT